TATACACAACGCATATATGTAATATAAATTATTATTTGTTCATGTTATTTTTGTGTGTATCTCAACTGATATGTAATATAAATTATTATTTGTTCATGTTATTTTTGTGTGTATCTCTGTTATTTATGTGTATATATATATGATGTTTTCGAATGTTTATATATGTACATATTTGTGGGTATGCATATGTATGTTATGAGTATATGTGTGTATGTTAGTTATATATATTTGTAATGTCTATATGTAGTACTTACGTATATATATATATTTATTTTTTGGATTATATATATATATATATATATGACAACGACAACAATGCTAATTGAAATTAATCATAGTTGTATTGAAAATATATGAAATATAAATTATCAACACATGATGTATAAATCGATAGATGTACGTTACTATAATACAAATATAGTATATAAATTGACAACATATAATAATAATCCACAATACACACTATGCTTGATCTTGGTATAGAAGGCATGTTAACCCAACAAATATGTATAATATGATCTGACAACGTATAATATGACCTGACAACACATAGTAACAATCTACATAACACGTATAGTGCAAGTCACATGGTGACAGTCTATATTTTATATGCACGTTAGTGCTAATCAACCGAGCACCAATCCAAAAATTCAAAATTTATAAAACATTCAATCCGAGCCAATCCGAAAATCCAAAAAATCATAACTAAATTATAACTTTCGGTTTGATTCGTATCAAATTTTCAGATTTTGGATATTTTGCTCACCCCCTAAACTTTATTGAATAATAGAATCCAAATTACTAAAAAAGAAAATATATACCATGTTATGAGGCGGACAAAAATAACAAAATATATACATAGTGGCAGAAAGAATGGACTATGATATGAATATTATTTTATAAATAAAAAAATTTTATATAATATAAATAAATTAAAAAGATACATTTACATAATAGCATAAAATAATTTTATAAAACAACAAATAGTTCTGAATGGATATGAATATACTTATTTATTGAAAAAGCATTAATAAAATGAGTATTTTAAGTAGATCTCATGTGATGTATTATTTTAATAATAAAAAATATAGTGGCAGTGTCAACTTACACTCAACTAGTAATCAATTTTCGCAAAATTTTCTTTGGCCGCAATGGTGTACCAAAATTTCATCAAGAAAAGTGATGAAACGCAATTGTTGAAAATAGTTCTTTTTTAAATTAATTTTGTTTTTTTTTTTTTTTTTTTTATTTTATGTGTGGTTTCACTATCTCGCGTGATTAGGTAGTGATAGTTAATGCTCAATTATTTTCTTTTGTGTTACTTATATTTCTTTAATTGTAAAGAAGTGTCATATTGACTTACACGTGCTCGTTGTTTTCACATTTTTTGTTTTTTTTTTATTTTTTTTCATATTTATTAAACTCTTATTTTTAGTTATTTGATGGTCACAATGGGTATGTAGCCATGCTATATTCCAAAGAGAAGTTTTCAAACATATCTTATTTTCAAATTCATCTGCTCTAGACAGTGAAGAGTATATCATATTGTTGCCCTGGGCTTTGGTTACTAATTTTGTTAAAACACGTCGATAAATAATTTTAGGAAAATGTACAACTATTATTGAACTTGCATTTTATTGAAAAATAAATACATCATGGAAGAGAAGATGTTGAGATATCTTCTATGAAAATATTAATATTTGTGGTGTATACTGGTGTCTCACTACAATAAAATATCATTTTTGTAACGATGTTTTTTCCTCCCTAAATCCAATTTTTCCGTTACTAATAAAATTAGAGACGGAATTAAGGATGGAATTACGTTAGCAACGTGAATTTTAGCGACAGAATTCCGTCACAAATATACTATTTTTTTTGTAGTGTCTTGTTTTTTTTTTTTTTTTTCCAGATTAGCCAGCGTTATTATTTTGGTAAAAGTGCAAAAAAAGTTAATGGCAGAGTGGTTGCTTTTTCGATTCATCTAATATGATTTATCTTGGTATTTGATCACTATTTTTATTACAATTTCAAGCGTGGAGATTATTAAAAATAAAGCATCCTTCACTAGAAATTTTCTTTAATGAGTTTGACTATTTTGATAAATTATGTTTTCTTTGGAAAACTGAAATGTAGGTGTCAAAATCACCCGTCACTATAAAAAAAAAGTTAAAATTTAGTTACAAAAAAATTTTGTAGCGAAAGTAATAACTCATAGCAAATATATTTTTGCGACCTATACCGCATTAGTAAAGGTCTTTGGCGAAAAATAAGAATTTCATAAGAAAAAATAAGTCTTTTACAATGAAAATTAAGAAAAGAGATATAGTTACGAAAATATGATTTCGTAGCTAAATCCTTTTTGCTATAAAATTAAAAATTATAACAAAAGAGTTTTTGCAACAAAATATGTATGATTTTTTTAGCCAAATGACTTTATCTATGAAAAATAATTATGTAGCTAAAATGTTTTTGCTATGAAGATAGAATTTTCTAGCAAAAAAAAATTTAGTGATAAAATTAATTTTGTAGTACATAATTTATTTTTAGGAATGAAATTAATTTTTGTTGCTAAATGATACGTTTTAACTACGAAAATATTTCGTAGTTAAAAATATTGTAGCTAATTAGGTACTTTTTTGTAGTGTGTATGTTATAAGCTAAATAATTTCCATAATTTAAAATCTTGCATGCTAAGTTTTTCTTGTAGTTTGATCTAGGTGTTGATAGTGTTGTCACTTAACTTCTCTGCAAATTAGTCTTACTAAGCTTTAGTCATAGTTTAATGTTGTAGTGATAGTAGATCAATTTAGGTTTGTTGCATATTGTATGTTTAGTTTATGTTAACTTAGATTAGATTAGATTAGATTACATTAGTTTGTTTAAAAAGTATGTTGGTGATTTATTGAAATAACCTTGTTATTTGTTATTACATTCTAATCACACTAGTGTATCCTCAATATCATATGAGACACTAAAACTAACTAGGTAGAAATATAATTGATGAAAGTAATGTTGAAATATTGATATATAGTATATATATATGTGTGTGGAAGTTTAAAAATACTATTCTCTTTCAAAAGATATATTTAATTATTATATTAAACAAGTTAGATAATATTTAATTATCATGTATGTATTATACATATTATATTAAGTTGTTTTGCAACACGAAGAATATGGGATGATCATATTCACCAAATAGCCATAGGTGGTGTTATATATTTTGGCCCGTAATTATTGAGGTCCAGAATTCATACAATCGACCCACCCTATTGAAGTCTGGATCCGGCAATTTGCTACCTGACTTGGACCGGTTTGAACCGGTTTGGTATGAACCGGTCTGTTCTGAATCTTATATATATGCTGGACCGGTTCATTCGTATAGTTCAGTCATTCAGTTCACTCCTTCGATTCACATCGCATTTCTCTCTCAAGCCCTAGGTGATTCCGACGCGTTCCGATCGACCTCTACCTGCCTTCTCCGGTGAATCTGTCCGGCGAGTTGGGAGTTTCTTCTTCTCTTTTAATGCGCGCCTTCCCCCTTGAAGTTTCTATAGTTTGGTTTGCTCGATTTTATGTCTTATTGTTGTTCGCGGTGTAACTTGTCTGCGATGTGGGTTTAGGCTTAATTTCGGCAATGTTTCCTTAGATTGGGTTACGATTTAGCGTCTATGTTGCATTTCCGTGACGTGTCATTTATGGTTGGATCTTGGATGTGTGTTTTATGTCGGTTGGTTTGATATTAGGGTAAACTGAGTCCGAACTGTTGCTTCAGTAATAAATCGAAGTTTTCTTTAGGTTTTCTTCGATGTTGATTTGATTTCGAGAGAATATAGCCTATTGGATCTTGGATTAGTAATAACAGGTGGAACAATCATATTCAGAATGTCAACCATTCCGTTCAACATGTCAATGATTGTATTCAGTATGTCGACGATCATATGGTGGTTATCGATCAATGTATGCGAATGCTCCTCGACCATTATGGATGAGGTTTGTAGTCTCTGAGTTGAATAAGGCTGTCATGGCCTTGATAGAGACGTAAGGCTTCATATATATATATATATATTCTATTTATTTCCATTTATATTATATTTGGGATATTGAATGAATGTTTTAATGCATTATGCATTTTTTTAACATCTTATGTAATTTTTTTAGTAAAAATATATGACTGTCACTACAAGAAATTATGAATTTTGTAACGAGATTTTTTGGTTACTAAATTCACTTTTTCTATTACTAATGATATTAGAGACGGAATTAGAGATGAAATTACGTTAGCTACGTGAACTTTAGGAACGGAATTCTGTTACAAATATACTAATTTTTTTGTAGTGTGTGGAATTGATATAAAATTATTACTCCCTCCGTCCGGCTCAAATGATTTTATTTATTTTTTGAGTCATTGTATTTAACATTAAAAGTATTTTTATATTTGTATAATTTTTTGCACATATGTCATTATAATTGTATTATAAGACGCTAATACTACAAAAAAAATGATTATTTGTAACAGCTTTAAAAAAATGACTATTTGTAGCAGCTTTAAAACCGCTACAAATGGGCATTCTCCGTTATAAAAAGCTATTTGTAACAATTTTGTACCAGATTTTGACTGGTGCATATGCTCGAGTTATAAAAAGTCTCTGTACCATCATTCTCCGAAGCAAAAAGTGGGCGGTCAACGCGCGTGAAAAATCTTTTTGTAACGGTTTTTGTAACGCAAGCAATGTATTTTCGATTTATTTATTGCAGATATTTCTCGTAATTAAAGAATTGTTACAATAAGTGTTCATGCATTTGTAACGACTTTTATTACGGTATAATTTTTGTTACAATAAGCTGGTTGTCATAAAACTATTTTAAACGTCGTTCATATTTTTTGTACCGGTATTTGTATCGGCCACAATTTCGCAACAAAAATAGTATCCTTATTTTTTCAGTAATAACAAAAAAAATTAGTATCGCAACCGAAAAACTTTTACGATGCAAGAAAATACTACAAAATATAAAAGTATTATAGAAAGTCTATATCACCATCATCAGTTGCACCAAGTGCGCATTGTCTAGGAACATAATTATTTCGCAATACAACCAAACATATACAATCCAAGAGCAAAGCATAGAAACAAACACACAAAAGGAACCATAATATGCAAGTTCAACCAACAGAGATGACTCAGTCAATATCAACCCACAAACAAAAGTTAATCATTATAGAATTACGTGCAATGCTGCATCGCCCCATGCATCGTCAAAGTGAACATATATGGAAGTTGCAGGTGACGAACGAGCTGCCAACATAATGCAAAATTATATAAGAATTTACTTGCGAAATAGTTAAGTTATAATCTAATAGAAAGTTATAAAAATAGTTACGTACATCCTTGAATGTCCAGTCGGTTAGCTTGACATGGACAACCTCAGTGTTTGCGCTCCAGATTTCGTTCGTAGAATGAGTGCGGCCTTCGGAACGGTAGCAACCGTGACAAAAACCTTCACTATGTCAATAGTATCACCTACGCATATATAAAAAAAAACACGTGCACATCATCGGAAACAAAATGCAACTCACAAATTTTCATAATCTTAAAGAGGATGATCGATACTGCAACATTAATAAATATACAAAACAATCATGAGCTAAAAAATACTCACATCTGGCTTAAATACATACCGATAAAGTATATAAAACTATATATTCTCCAGAAAAAATGCTTGCAAGTTTCTAGATTCCCTGCATAAATCGAAAACATAACCTATAATATTTTTAACAAAATTGATGGAATGAATAAGAGAAAAGACAAGGATAGTAGAAAAAAATGCAACAAAATTATTCTCATATAGAAGTTGTGACCGTATTTTATTACCAAACCCAAAAACTGTTGGCATAAAACAGTTAACCAAAAGTAATTGCATCCTACCGAAATGGAGCCCTTGACTATAATGCATATAGGAGAAACCACACAGACACATTCATTAGCTGAATAATCCAGCTATTAAACAAAATTGCAGTACTGAATAAACCAAAAACATGAGAAGTAAGTGGAGCAATGAGTGATGATGGGTATTCTAGACAAACATATACGACTTAACTTCCGGAGATGGACCATAGAAATGTCACAATGGCAGTGATGCAATGGTTTTCAATGTATCACATATTATATATGTCCATACAGGGTTGTGTGTACCCATATAATAGACAAGAAAATTATAATTATACCTTTTTTCAGTATACTATAGATGGACACAATAGCACCACTGTGGCATTGTTAAGAGCATTCAGAGAATCTGGCCTATTCAAAATTGCGGTTCTCGAATTACCTCCACCTTCAACCAACACTTGAAATTTGTTTAAGCGGAGCAAAAACGTTCAAAGCTCTATTTCTCTAACTATTGACGTAGTAAACAAAGCATCTAACATCAGTCTTATTTGAAACTTTAATCAGATTCTTCATTAAAACTTTTATAACAACGATATAATATTATTTTGATGAGATAACACTTAAATAAACATACAACACCATGGTTGAGAAAACAATTATTAGAAAATAAAATGATACACTTTTGCACAACATTCACCTAAATTGATTACACACCTCAATTTCTCTCTTATTCATGGAAAGTACTTTTGATTAGCTAAAAACAAAAATATTTAAAGAAGCAACAAATCTACAATTTGATTCAAAAAACGTGGAGCCAATTTACTTTGAAGGAATGTTCTAATGACATAACTAGAGCACAATCATTTAAATATATATATATATATATGTATATATATATTAAACTATAATAGCATACGCAACCTGGAATAAAAACATCAAGCAAATTTGGTCTGATTAAACCATGCAGGCATGAAAGACATTAGTATAATGAATATATTATGCAACCTGTATGCAACATCGGATATATGCAGTGAACTTAAATATGCAGAAGAAATTTACCTTGAAGATAAGACAAGACTAGACTAGATACGACCATCCGCATCAATCAATAATTCATTGGATCAATTGTAAAAAACTCTACATTATTATTCATTCCGTGAGAATTTTTAACTACTTTTGGCAACACTATGACTGATTTGCTCACTCACTCACTCATTTGACATTTCTTTTTCCTTGACAGATATTATTATTATTTTATATAAACAATGAAGCACTTGCACTCGCATTTGCAATTGATCTTGCTTGGGTCTCAAGATTAAAATACAACTAACAAGATCCAACAACATGACTTGTAATATTAATATTTTATTCTTATTTCTCATATCTCATCCATGTATCCATTTATACATACGTATCTATAATTTATTAGTAAGTATTATTGATAATAGTGAGCTGGCACTGTGATGGCACCATAAAAATTAGAAGTAACATATGTATTATTATTATTATTATTATTATTATTAAACAATTTGATATATGATAAATAGATAGATAGATAGATAGTTATGATAGTTACATTGAGGAGCAGCCACAACTCCTATAACTAAACATGAAACAAAGTGATGGTGCATAGATAAAGATGCACACACAAATACACAAGAATTACGTATACAACTGCAGATATATTATCACAATTCACACACAGTGTGTGCATATCAGTGTATTTAATTATGTGAAAACGAATTAATTAATAAGCTCAATTCAAAGATAAGATAGATATGTGGATGAGTAACAAGTAACAATAAGCGGAGTGAGTGGCTGCAGTTCACTGACCTATGTTTCTTGGACAAGGCTCTGTTTGTCTGGTTAAATTTCAACATACCCACTTAATACATATATATTAAAGGTCAGATAAATTAGATTAAAGTGTAAGAATTTTTAAAGTAAAATAAGGAAAATCATACATATATATTAGCTATATGTGGAGGTCAACGGTCTGATCTAACTCAGACAAGAAGATCGAAAAATTAGTAGGAAAAAAAAAATGACATCAAACAGTACTATAAGTTATTACAATAATAAATCCATGTGAAAAACCATCGATAGTTCCTAGGATTAAATTCATGGACCTAATTATGAAATTGGTATTGAATAAGAATCTCATTTGGATTATAAAAATAAATAAATAAAAAAAGAAGTGGGTTAATTAATAAATGCAGCATTTTCCAATTCTTATTATTATTTTATCTAAATGTCACTAGAGAAAAAGAAAACAATAATGGACAAATTTTGTAGTTGAATTTGGGACAATAATTTGAAGAAAAAGACAATTATTACAATGGTTGATTAAGATGTCCCTAAAAACAACCTTAATTAATTTATAAAACTTTGAGTAGTAGAAAGAATCAAATGATTGAATTGAAGAGTTTCGCATCGTTAAGTTTCCGAATTGGTATTGTATGATAATCACAGCTAGATCCTTCCGTCATTGATTCAAACTTTGTCGACACCTTAACCAAATAGTATTCTTTTCTTCTGCCAACTCTACTCCTAGGGTTAAACTTTACAATGTAAAAACCACAAAGAAAGCTATAAAAATAATTGAATGAATATATATATTTCATGCGAGGTCACCATTCACCACATCAAAACCAATCATACAATACCAGACAAAGCTATGCACAGTTATTTAGTTATTGAAGAAAAGCACAAACAAGCATAACCCTACAGTCTACAATTAGATTAATTCCAAAACCTTAGAAAAATCGAATAAGAAAAGAAGTATCATCGGGGATCTTAAGGTCCGCTGCGTTCTTCTCTTCTTCCGTTGATATACTTGATACTCAAAAAAATCAAACCTAAATAGGAGAAAAATTGATTCTCGATTTAGGAATAATCAGAAAAATACCTCGAACTCGATTCACCAAAGCGTGAGAAACCTTCTTGCCGGTGATGGTTGTGTGCAGGTGGCGCGCAGTCGACAAAGGGAATTCATGCGGCCGCATCGGTCGTAGTCGCGACATACGTATGGAGGAGAAATTTTAAAATTAGATTTAGGGATTAAATTTAGAAGTTATAAATATTATATATGTACATAATTATATATAATAGTTTTAATTTTTAAATAAATATTTTTAAAATTTTAATTTTTATATATTAATATATAAATATTATATATGTGTATATATGATATATTATTGTAGATTTAATTTAAAATTTAAAATTAAAATTATTGTAGTTGTACAAAAAAAATATTGTAACAAAAGAAAAATATTGACTAAATCACAAAAATTATTTGTTATGAAAATATTCGAAACAAAAAATAGTTTTTGTAACGAAAAAATTGTAGCGGATAAGATTCCAATACAAATGGTCATTTTTTTGTAGTGTAATAAAAATATTTTTGTCATTTTTCTTTAATTTGTACTATATTTTCATATAATAATTAATATTTAAATATCACTATGCAAAAAGTAAATAAAACCCTTAAGGCCGGACGAAGGTAGTATATAATATTGGTCTAACTAAACTAATTTTCTATTTATTTTGGCCTGAATCAAACTGGTCTGCTTAAATACGATGGCCCCTTTTTGAATGAGCTTAGATTAAATGGATTTGAAATTAGTTGGGCCATGGAAATTATTTTGATATTTAATATTCATTTTATTTTAATAAAATCATTAATTTTTTTTATAATATAATTTTCAAAATATAAATGCCAAATAGTACCGTAGGTATTTCGTTAATTTTGAATTGAGCATTAATGAACTAGAAATTTCGGGGATTTGTTTTATTAGCATTTTTTAAAAAACTATTTAATCTTTATATATATATATATATATATAAAAGCATCTAATACATAATATTTTAATTATCCGTTAAATTTATGCATAATTTATTTATATTAAAAAATTTTATTCAGTCATAATTTCATTATTTATATTTTACCAAATACTCCTCTCGTCCTGCCATAATAATTCTTTTTTTTGTCCGTTCCAATAAAGATAACCGTTTTGGTTTTTTTTAGTAAATTTATTTATTTTAAATATATTTAACAAATATAAATCAATTTAATTAAATTTTTAACTTTTTACAAGACCCTTTTATTTTTAAATTTCACCTCAATAAACAAATATTTTTATCTATATTTAAAACTTATTAATTTTTATAAAATTAATTTTAAGTTAATTATAAATAAATAAATAAAATTTTTAATTCATTTGTATTATATAAAATTTTATTATTTGCAAAATGATATCCATATTGTATATATTTTATTGATATATAATCCTAAAAATATTTAAAATACCAATAACACTGCTCATATAAAAAATAATAAAATAATATCATAACTTATTATTAATAACTTACTAATATACACTACCTAAAATATTGTGTCCGAGTTCATCTCTCGCGGGACTGAGGGAGTACTAATCAATATTTTTTCTATTTATGCCCTTTAAAAAATTTTATAATACCTCATCTTGCTTTCTACATATCTTATTTGTATAGGATAAACTGATTTTTTAATCTCGTATTGGACATCTTTATTATTTTAGTCTTGTAATTAGAGTATGTAGCAAACTAGTTATGTAAGTAAAATTTTTTGCACTTTTAGTCTTTCGACGCTAGACATGCCAACGTGGCTCGCCGAAAGACACATGTCCGCCAAATCAGCGACATATCGCGGACACGTGGATTTTTTTAATAAATTTTATTTTTTTTTTTTCTGTAAAAATTAAAAAAAATTCAAAAAAAATTTGAAAATTAAAATAAAAAAAAAAGATAAAATAAAATCCACGTGTCTGTCAAGTATCGCTGACATGACGGACACGTATCCTCCGACGAGCCACATGGGTGTCATATAGGTATCTCCGGCACCGAAGAACTAAAATTGAAAAAATTTTCTACGTACGAAACCAATTTGCGATAGACTCCAACTACGAGGCTAAAATGATAAAATAATCCGATTAAAGGACTATCCTTAAATTAAAATATTATTTTTCTAATTTAATATTGCAGTATAATTAGCGTGAATAGAAGAGGTATAAAACATTCTAAATGTCATCAAATAACAAATTCTAAAACTGTTTAAATTTTCAGTAATTTCAATATTTATTTTATGCTTGATTTTTAATGAAATATAACTATAAATTTATTTAATAAATATAAATCTCATTCTATATTATAAATAAAATCATATTGACAATTATTAAAAATCAATATCATTACATTAATTCACATATAAAAAATAAAATAATATTTATATATTCAAAGTACTCTCTTCGTCTTAATTCAAACTTTTTTTTTTTTTTTTCCGTTCATAGCTAGCAAGTATTTTTAATTATTATTATAGTAAACGTAATTAAATATTATTATCAAAATATTTTTAATTTTTACATAAATTATAAATATATCATAAAACATACAATTAATTTATATATAAACTGTAGAGGACAAAAATATCAAAATTATCTTACACTTTCACTAATTAATAAAATATTATTATTTTTTAATTTATTATATTGAGAAGGGAAATATCACTAATTATATAATATATACTCCATTAAATTTTGAACAAAAAATAAACTAATATTGTAATAGTAGACAAAAATTAATCGGGTTTGTTCATACAATATTTTTTTGATATGATTTCATATAAATATTATAAAAAATACTATTAATACAATATATAGGGTACATTTGGCAATTAGCTGATAGTTTTTAGTTGTTAGCTGATTCAATTAGTTGTTAACTTATTCAATTAGTTGGTTTGACTAACTGATTTAATTAGTTGTATATATTAATGTATTTCATAAAACAAGTGTTGACATTAATTGTTTATACAAAAAATGATAATTAAAGACAATTATATATTATTTTTTAAAATATTTAATTTTATTTATTTTAGTTTAAAATTTTTGAGAATTTTTTTTATTAATTATTTAAAATTATAAAAATATTATAAAATATTTCTATTATATAGATTTGAAAAAAATATTTTTATTAAAATAAAATAAGAATTTGTTATTAAAATTGTCTAAAATATAAAATAATAAAATTTTCGTATATATATCTTTATTATGTTAATTACTTTTATTTTTAATGTAAAACTTATATAATAAAATATATATAAATAAATTAATAACAATTTCTTATAGTATTTTATTTAACTTTAATAAATTTATATATTTTTTAAATAAAATAATTTAAATTTAATAATTAATAATAGTAATTATTTTAAATTTATAAAAAAAAATAAATTATAATTTAATAAATAAATATATTAAAAATAATTAATAAATACTATAACAAAAATATATTGTATGAAATAAATAAGTAATTTTTAAGGGTAAATAAAGAATAAATAAAATTAAAGTAAGAAAAATATTTTAAAACGTTGGGTATATTAATTTTTTAAAAATTATTTTTTTAATATAAAAAGTTTTTTCAAAAAATTAATTTACCGTGTAAATTAATTTTTTTTACTAATCAAACAGCTAAAAGTGGTTTAATAAGCTAAAAGCTCCTAAAAAATCATTTCACAAACACCACTATAATATATAAATAGTGTGTGTTTTTTTTTTTTTTTATTTCAAACCAAAAAATTATCACTATTCAATTCGTAAAATTTTTAACAAAGTACATTTGAATTTTTATAATAAATTAAAAAATAAGAATATTTCATTGATGAGTAGAAGCATATAAATTAATTATATATATAATAAAGTATTTGTAATTTATATAAAAAGTAAGACTATTTTAGTATTAATTTGTAATTATTTTTATTATAATAGAAACAAAAGGGTGTGTTTACTTGTAAAATTTTAATTTTGGATTTTGGTTTTGAATAACAAGTTTTATTTTTATTTTTGAAATAGTTATTTGATATGATATAAATATATATTAATATAATATTTTGAATATAAAATAATTATTTTTGTATAATATAATAAATAAATAATAAATATTTAATTTCATATTTTTAAGTGAAAAAATTAAAATAGTAAAATCAGATTAAAAACTCCACAAGTAAACATACTCTTTAATATTTTTTATTAGAACAGATAATATAATACTTTCAATTAGAAATAAAGAAACATTATTTTTTTCTCATAAAAATAATAAAATTAAATCAAACTACTATTTAAATCAAAACTTAAAATCAAATAATTTATTTTATAAAAAAAAATTAAATCAAACTACTATTTAAATCAAAATTCAAATCAAATAATTTATTTCAAACAACAATTACATTTCTTGAAATTAATCACATTTGATATATCTATCATGGGGTGTACACGCGTCAACATCCCAACGGCTACTCTACAATGAAATTAGGGTCACACTTTTAAAGCCATAAATGATAAATCTCGAGAGTCAATACTCATCAAATGATATGAATTAAATGGAGGCCCCAACGGTCTCTACAATATCTATATATATAATTATTATTTATTACTCCATCCGTCCCAGATAGCTATACTGTAGACACAATATTTTAGAAGGAGTATAATTAGTAGATAATTAAAAATATATTAGTGAAAATAATTATCCTATAATATAAATAATTATAAATTAAGATTAAAATAACTAATTAGTTTAATATAAATTAAAAAATTTAAAATAAGATTAAAGTGTGTAATCATTTTCCAAAAAAGAAAAATGGCACGATATATGGGACGGATAGAAACGGCAACGTGGACATGATATTTGGGAAGGAGGGAGTATATATTTTTATTGGGCAAAATAGCATGTAACTCAGTTGAGATTTTAACAAATCGTTACCATATTTTTTTTATGATTTAAAAATTACATAAGGCTTCATCATATTTTAAAAGAAATATTGTAATACCTTCGTCCCATAAAATCGATAATATTTATTTTTTGCACCTAAATTTTTTAACATTAGTATTATATTAATTTATAGTAAAAATGACAAAAATATCCTTATTAGATTGTGTGATATAAAAATAATAATATTTGTATTATATATTGAAAATTGTAAGGATATTAATTATATTAGGTAGATAGTACAAAAATAAAAAATAATATCCTTTCTATTTGACGGAGGAAGTATAAATTTTTTTAAAAATCACATAAGACTTCTATCTATGTTGAAAAATATTATATGGAATACCCTAACAAGGAATTTGTGCAATATTTTTAAAATTACAAAAAAAAAAATTATCAATTTTTAAATCACACAAAAAATGATAAGAGATTTTTCAAAACACAAATAGATTATATATAATTTTTTCTATCTTTTGGTATAAATTTTTTAGTCCTATTCATTACTACTATTATTTACTCCCTCCGTCCCACATACCATGTCCACGTTGCCGTTTATGTCCGTCCCATATACCATGTCACTTTCATTTTCTGGAAAATCATTACACACTTTAATTTCGTTTTAAACTTTTTAATTTTAATTTTTTTTTTAATTTTAATTAAAATAATTAGTTATCATAATCTTAATTTATAATTATTTATATTATCGGATAATTATTTTCACTAATACATTATTAATTATCTACTAATTACACCCCTCCTAAAATACCGTGTCTACAGTGTAGCAGACACGGTATGTAGGACGGAGAGAGTATTATATTTTTAAAAAATATAAAAGCATTCCTAAATGTATGGCTGTGTTTATTCGTGAAATTTTGATTTTGAGTCTTGGTTTTAAATAATAAAATTTTGAATTGAAATCGATATTTGATGTTATATAAATATCTATTGATGTAATATTTTGAATGTAAAATTAAAATTTAGTATAATATAATAGATAAAATATAAATATTTAATTTGATTTTTTTGGAAGAATTTTTTTTTTTTGAATAATAAAACCAAAACTAAAATCCTACAAGACAAATTATGTAATAATTTTTAACATCAAATTTTTTAATATGATTCTAATTTTTAAATAAAGATATAAATTTAAAAACACATCAATATTTGATAGTAAAAATTACTAGGTGACTAATCCATATTAGCTCTGTAGATGCTATATCAATATAACTCATAATATTTCAATACTAAATGACTTTATCAGCTGCTAGGAATTAAATATAAAATTATTGTTATATAAAATTTATTTAAAGAGCAATATATTAATAGATTATTCCTCCGTTCCAAACAAGGTGCAATATTTATTTTTGGTACGAGTTTTTAGGTGAGTAGTATTAAGTAGGATAATTTAGAAATTATGTAATATGATGGAGATAGTAATATATATTTTATTACTCCCTCCGTCCCATGTAATATGGGTGTATTATTGTAGACATGAGAATTTAAGTAAAATATAATTAGTAAGTAATTAAGAAGTGTATCAGTAAAAATAATTATAAATTAAAATTAAGATAAGTAAATAGTTTAATTAAAATTAAGAAAAATTATAAAATTTAAAATGCGATTAAAGTGCATAATTATATTTCCAAAAATAGAAAGAACAAGTTATGTGGAACGAACGAAAATAGAAAATATGGACAAATTATGTAGGACGGAGGGAGTATTTTATTTGGATGACAGCGAAGAATAAAGTGTGGGGTAGAGATTATGTATAATTAATTATTTCCTATTTTAGAAATATTGCATGGTGTTTGGGACATACCAAAAAGAAAATATTGTAGGGTGTTTGGGACGGAGGGAGTACTACGTGTATTTATCCCTATATATATATATATATATATATATTTATGTGTTGCTACAATTAATTTTGTGCATTCATTTCATTTTCATCATAGTCTATCAATTCTGTTATTTTCAAACCCACCCAACAAATATATATAAATAGCTATTACTCTATTAATAAATAAACTTCAATTAGATATTTCTTCCTTTTTTTTAAAAGTACAATTAAGTTGGTATGATTTTCAAAACAAATACATTATTATTTTTTAAATATTATATTAAAAACTATTTAAATTATAAAAAATTAAAAGATTTTTTTTTTTTATAAAATTCTAAACAAAATTTAACATAACGGTTTACTTTAGTGTTTTTGGTTTTGATTCCAAAATTAGTTTCTTATTATTTGATTAAAATATGGTTTTTAATCAACATATATAATTTTATTTTATAAAATATTATATTAGAAATAATATTTAAACTAAAAAAAAAAAAAAAAAAACTCAAATCAAGACATACAAACCCCAAACTTGTTTTCAAGTGCAACTTAAATAAACCATCAAAAATACAATATCAATTACAATGGTAAAACATATTTAATTTTAACCAAACAACATTACAAATATAAAGACAATCGCATACGATTCTTAATAATAATAATAATAATAATAATAATAATAATAATACTTTTTTACTAAACTGAGGCACAATATCACAATAGAATTTACTGTAAAATATAACCCAAATCGTGTGGTAATATTTTAGGATATTGTTAAAACCCAAAATTTTGAACCTCCAAGACTGTTCATCGATTTCATCGGTGTGGGGTCCGGAAGTACTCCAAAGAGTCTTTCCGTCGTTGGATTTAGGGGCGGCTCCAACGGTGGAGCCTGCGCAGCTTCGAGCCTAAACGACCGATTTCGATGTATTTAAATTAAAATCTACTAAAATTCGGATAAATGTACTGAAAAATGGATAAAAAAAATATACTGGAAACATAAATTAGCAAGAAATTTCAGATAATTTTCTAAAACCTATGGATAAACTAATAAAATAATAAAGACTTGTAGAGGATATGTGTGTTCTTGTCGTGTGTGATGTGTGTTTTACTAGATTTATCCTAACATAAGCAACCACAGTTATTCTTTCAAACTCCTTCCAACCGCCTGACATTATACCTTAGCCGGTCTACCGAATTTTATCCCCAACAGCTTTGAGTGGCATGGAGTCTTCAATTCTTTCTTATGTCGGCCTATCTCCAAATAGTATTCTGAATAAAATATAGAAGCATGTGGATCTTCCGTTGATTTTTGGTATGGAACCGTTAACGTAGAACCAATGGAGGTTGTTGTTTTTGGTTCCGCAGAGGCAATAATATTCGACTTTATGGAAACATTGTTCCGGGATTAAGGCGCCATAGTCCAAGGAATTGCTGTCCCAAGGTTAATAAAAGTTGTTTCCCCCTGTCCGTGGAGGCCACAATCATTTGCTTTGTGGAGGCATTATAGTTCAATAGATGTTGTTGCTTCCGGCTATGTGAAAGTAGCAGTCTTCGATTCCGTAGTCTGAAACTCCATTATTGTTGGACGGCTCTATGGCTTGCTCCATTATTGTTGGACGGCTCTATGGCTTGCGAGCTCTGCCTCTGCTTTTTTTTTTTTTTCGAGTCTCTTTCGTGTTCGGGTGCTTTTGAATTCAGGTCCAACAATGACATCCTCAAAAGGGCTGTGCAATTGTTTCCATTGAGCTCATGTCCTTTTGCTCCGAGCTGTTCGCTTGCATCAACCGTGGCAACTTACGTAGATAAGGAATCCTTCTCGGCTTCACTTTTTGGATTTCGTCTTATATTAAGTTTTTTGTAAATTCTTTTATTTAAATATAAATTCCGTCATTAGGCAAGTTCGAGCCCAAAATGTTAGAACGCGACATCGTCATAACATGTAGACAAACACACTGACGTTCATCGCACAAAAAATTAAATTAAAATTATATATATATATATCCAAATAATAATAATAATCTGTAAAAAGAATACCTCAACATGATCCTTTGTCCAATTCCTCAATCCGAAACAACAATGGAGTTCCGGCCACTCGACACACTTCCATAGTCATCTCCGGCGGCGCCGCCGCCGTCGCACAGCGCCAACGCCCGTTCCAAGTTCGCCACGACGTCGCTCATCGTCGGCCTATCCTTCCCTTCCAAATGCACACAATGCATCGCCGTGTACGCCACCAATTCGACCGCCTCCGATTCCCCAACCTCCTCCGGCCGTCCCACCCGGCGGTCCAAAATCCGTGACACCTCTCCTGCCATTATTGCCGGAACCGCATAATCGACCACGCTAATCGGCAAACCGCTCCCGCTCTCGCCGCTCTTGAATATCGCCCTCTTCCCCGTCAGAAGCTCCAACAACACAACTCCAAGACCGTACACATCGCTCTTCGCCGTCAAAACGTTCAAACCGTAATACTCGGGGTCGATATACCCGACGGTGCCGGCAGCCTTGCCGGGCTTGTACTCGGAAATATCATTCGCGCCACTGTTGTCCTCCATCAACGAAAGCCCGAAATCGGAGACCCTCGCCGTCCAATTTCCGTCGAGCAATATGTTCGAGGACTTTATGTCGCGATGGATTATCGGCGGGACCGCGTATGTGTGGAGGTACTCGATCCCCCGCGCAGCGTCGAGCGCGATTTTGATCCGTATTTTCCACGAATTCACGACGCTGCTGCTGCTCCGGTCGTGCAAATGGTCGTAGAGCGCGCCGTTCTTCATGTACTCGTAGACCAGCAGCCGCTCGTCGCGCTCCTCGCAGTACCCGACTAATCCGACCAAATGCTTATGGTGAAGCCGGGAGAGGAACGCGAGCTCCGACTCGAACGCGCTTTCCTTCTCCTGAAACCTCCGAGTCTTCGGGCCGGTGTCACTTCGCTTAATCGCGACTTCGCGCCCGTTCGGGAGCTTCCCGCGGTACACGATCCCGAAGCTCCCAGACCCGATCCGGTTCTCCGTCGAGAACCCGTTCGTCGCTGCGGCAAGGTCCGAGAATAAAAACACCTCAGCCCTGTCCGCGTGCTTCCCCGACGTACCGCTCCTCTGCCGCCTCATCGGCAACGACCCCTGCCGCCGGAGAGGGCTACCGGTCGTTGCCGCCGGCGCCGTAATCCTCGGCTGCACTGAATTATGAACCTTCTTCTTCCCCGAACAAACGCCGCTCCACAAACAATAGATTACTGTACAAATCCCGGCCAAACCACCAACGGATCCTATAACAGCAAATGCAAGCAAACCTCGCCGGAGCCTTCTAGAAGGCGCGGCCGCCGCCGGCGGCGACGGAGGAGGAGGATTTGGTTTAACAGGGGGTAGTTCATCACAAGAGGTACAAATATGGCCATTGTTGGAACAGAGGAGCTGAGATTGAGGATACAAACGGCAGCGGCAGATGGCGGCGATGCAAGGTCCGGGGAGAGTCTTCTGCAATGGCAGAGTAGCTCCGGCGGCGCGGTAGTGATTAGGCCAACCAGGTCCCCAACACATCACTGTCAAATTGCTCGTAATCAAGCCACAAGTGAAATCCAATCCTGCAACAACTGATTCAAACGAAACTCCATCGGTAATGTTGTTGGAATGCTCACCGTTGCCGCCCCAGCACACGACGGTGCGGTTGAGGCGCTTGATTGCGCAGATGTGGTCGGCTCCGGCTGCGAGCCCTAGGTATTCGTACTGATTGTTCGAAGGTATGTTGAGTTGTCCGGTGGTGTTGCTGCCTCTGCAGATTACGAATCCGGCGGTGTTGATTCCGCAGGCGAATCGTCCGCCGAGTTGAATCACAGCCATGGAGTGGCCGGAGAACGCCGACTGTATCAAATCGGAAATTGCATAATCTCCCCAGCACGAAACCGTCGCGTTTTCGAGGATTCCGCAGGAGAATCCCAATCCGGTGGAAACCGAGCGGAATCGAGAGGTCCGCGGCGCCGGAATCGGACGCGAGGAAGGATTTTGTCGCCAGCAGACAGCATTTCCGGCGGGGACGTTTCTGAGTGCACAAATCTGCGTGTCCCCAATGGAAAGCGAAATTAGCGGAGCAGAAGTGTCGTTGTAGATTCTCTTAGGGCGGAGGAGGTTGGTGTCCCAGCAAAGGAGGCGAAATCCGCCGGAGCGAACGGCGCAGAGAGTGTCGCGACCGCCGGCGAGGTAGTCGAAGGAGATGATGGGAAGGATAGGCGGGAGGAGCTGGCCGTTCCGCCAGCATTGAATCTCCCGGACAGGGCGGTCGGCGAGGATGGTGCAGATAGTGATGGAAGAGCCGTAGACGACGGCGAGGGCGGCGGAGGAGGATCCGGCGAGAGCGTGGGCGGGGGGCGGGGGGGAGAAGCAGAGGGCAGCGAGGAAGGAGAAGAGGGCGGAGAGGTGAAACAACGTCGTCGTCGTCGTCGTCATGTGTGAGGGGACTTCTTCTTCTTCTTCATAGTCTATCTATCTCTCTATCTGTAGAAAGAAACGGAAAAAGGGAAAACGCTAAAAGAACAGAATTGTACTACTCTCCTTTTTCGCATTACTACTACTTTTAAACTAATAAAATATTATTTTAATGTTTACACATTAGGATGTGTTTGGTTGTGGGATACTTTGATATTTGATACCCCCTTCATTCCCAATCAAAATATATACTCCCTCCCTCTCATATCTATTTATTTATTTATTTTTTACGCAGAGTTTTAAAAATATTACTACACTTTCCATCACATATAAAGAGTAACGTTTGCTTTTTGCACGTGAGTTGTAGTAAGAAAAAGACAAAACTACCCTTATTAGTATTGTGTAATATAAATGTGGTGATATTTGTGTAATATATTGTAAGTTGGAAGAGTATTTATTATATTAGGTAGATAGTACAATTACTAAATTAGGAAATAATACCCTCCTTTGAAACGAACGAAAATAGAAAATAAACTCTTTCTATGGGAAGGAGGGAGTATCATGTTGAAGTGTAGTATAAATGAAGCTAAAAAGTCTAAACTAACCTTATTAGTATTGGATGATATAAAGGTAATAAAATTAGAAGAGTATTTATAATGTTAAGTAAATAGTACAATTACTGAAAAAATAAAATATATACTTTATTATGAGTTGACCAAAATAAAAAAATAGATAAATGGTTAAGGAATAGAGAGAGTATTTGGATTTTTTCGGTAGATTAAAAATTAATATTAATATTTTATTAATTAATAGAAGTTCATAAGATAATTTTGATATTTTTTTTCATATTTACTAATAAATATAAATTCATTTAATTAAATTTTTAACTTTTTTACACGTATGATCTATTCCAAACACTTTTATTTATATTTCTCATCAATTAACAAATAATTTTATCTACTTTTGAAATCTTCATTTTTTTATAAAATTAATTTAGGGTAATGATAAATAAATATATGTATATATATTTTTTTATTTATTTGTATTATAGGAGGATAAAATTTTATTCTCTACAAAATAATATTTATATTGTATAAGAGTATATTTTATTGAGATATAATCTTAAATATTTAAAGATATATTTTAAATTTATTTTAATCATATATAATATACTTATATTACACAAAATAATTCAATAACTAATCTTCAGTGTCTAAATAACTAATTTATACTACTCAAATAAAAAACATCATCTTAATAAGACAGATAAAATATTATTTTATTAGTTAGGTAGAAGTGTATAAGATAATTTTAACATTTTTGTCCAATTTATTTTATGTATATATATATAATAATATCTTTGTAATTTAGGTAAAATTGAAAATATTTTAGTATATACGTGTAATTAATGTAATTTGAAATAAGATACTTTTAATTGAGATTAAAAAAATATATTAAAATTGATACTTTCTCCGTCTCACTCCAAATGGTCCTTTAGGATTTTGTAATAGATTAAAATATAATAATATTTTATTAGTTAATTGAAATGTATAAGAAATTTTGACATTTTTGCGTAATTATATATTTTTAATTTTAGTAAAAGTTAAAAGATGTTTTGATATTATTATATGATTACTTTTACTAAAAACAAAAAATAAATATTTTAGAGTGAGACAAAAAAAAAATAGTAAAAAAATATTATGAGTTGAGACGGTGGAAGTATAATTTTGAATTAAAATTATTGTTTAATTTGATATAAATAAAAATTAATTAAATATTTTAAATATAATATAAAAAATAAATAAATATTTAATTTGATGTTAAAAAGATATGAAATAGTAATAATAAATTAGTAAAAAAAAACTTTTTAAAAATATCAAATTAATTAGTTAATTTATATATTTTTATATTTAAAGTTTAATTGAGTTTGCTATTTAAATTTGAAATTTTACTACTTAAAACACACTTTTCATACTCTCTAAGCTTGCATGTATACAATTACATTGCTGATGAATAGCTTAAAGAATTAAGTTGTTTCTTTATAATATATACTTTCTTAATTTTTAAAGTACCATTTTTTATATCATACTAAAAAGTATTTATATTTTATTATGATAAAATTAATTATACATTAATATTACAATACATTTAATTTTTAATAAATCACAAAGTTATTATTATTATATATATACACAAAATACAAATATATATATTAAAATTGTCTTATATATTTTCATTAATTAATATAATATAATTATTTTTTAATTTACTATAAAAATTTACAAAAATACACAAAAATGCATTAATCTCAAATGAAAAAAGTAGTACTATTTCGTGCATTTTTATTGTTACGTGTATATATTTTATTATATAATTGTATTTTAAAAATTAATTTGTCTAATTTACTTATATATTCACTTTAAATTATTTTTAAAACACGTGTTCTTTTTTGTACCTATTTATTTACTTATTATTTAAATAGTCAGATATAATATCCTGTTTATTTTCGACTTGTTGTTACTATTAATTATTTAAAATTATAAAAATATTATTAAATATATATGTATTTATTTTTAAATATTTTGTGAATAAATATAATTCTATTTGACTATTATTTATGTATAAATATTTTTTTTTTCTACGTAGATATTAAAATATTATTATTTTATTAGTAAATATTACTCCCTCCGTCCCAAATACAGTGTCTGCTACACTGTAGACACGGTATTTTAAGAGGAGTGTAATTAGTAGATAATTAAGAATATATTAGTGAAAATAATTATCCTATAATATAAATAATTATAAATTAAGATTAAGATAACTAATTAGTTTAATTAAAATTTAAAAAAAGTAAAATTAAAAAATTTAAAATGAGATTAAAGTGTGTAATCATTTTCCAAAAAAGGAAAGTGATATGGTACGTGGGACAAACAGAAACGGCAACGTGGACATGGTATTTGGGACGGAGGGAGTATAATAAAATAATAAAATATTTTTTATACATAAAGTGTACTCCTATTTGTTTTTTATACTTTCTCCGTCTCATATCTATATATCAATTTTATTTTTGCACAAAGTTTTAGAAATATTAGTATTATATTTGAATAAAATAGAAATGAAGGTAAAAAAACTAAATTAACCCTATTAGTATTGTATGATATAAAAGTAATGACATTTGTGTAATATATTGTAAATTGGAAGGATATTTGTAACGTTAGGTAGATAGTACAATTATTAAAAAAGAAAATGAATATTTTGTTATGGGACGAACCAAAATAAAAAAATGAATAGATTGTTAAGGGACTGAGGCAATACTATTTTTTGTACTATTATGTAAAATATAAAAATACTTTTTGCTTACTTAAAAAGTACAATTATTTAAATATAAACATAAAATTTGATTATGTATAGGCGAAAATGAAAATATCTTAAAGCATATATATATATATATGAGCGCTCTATAAATGACTACCTGATTTTACGAAATTATCCTTAATAGCCTAACATTTCATATTTATATCAGTTGTACACAGGGGTAATATTGTGGGTAAATATGCCTTCTTTCGTCAATTAACATCGACGTTGACAGTTATACTGAAGATATTGGGTGTTATTCAGGATTGTGTTTTTTCATTTTAATTTGGTATTTTGTTGTGATTTATTTGTACAAAATATATTGATATGGATATCGTTTGTTAGCTCGTAACTTTTACTTTAATAGAATAACTTACTTATAATATTGTAATGCTATAATTTCTTTAAGATTTCTTTAAAATTACATTTTATAGTAATTAGGGGTTTTGGAGATTGTTGGGCACGTAAAACAAAAAAAAAAAAAAGTCCGGCTAGACGGTGATTAATCAATATAAATATATTTTTTTTAATTGAAAGTTGTTACCTATTGCTTTCCGTGTTAGCCGACTGCAGGTCTTCCCGTTGTCGTCCGACCTGCACGACACGCTTTACGGAACCCTGCAGTACGGGAGGCAACCTGAATTTACTAAATTTCCCTTAATAGTTTAACATTTCATATTTTCATAGTTGTACATAGGGGTAATATTGTGGGTAAGTATGCTTTCTTTCGTTAGTTAACCCCGGCGTTGGCAGTTATACTGAAAATATTGGGTTTTATTTAGGGTTGTGTTCTTTTTATTTCAATTTGATATTTTGTTGTGATTTACTTCTAAAAAATATTTTTTTAAAAGTTGTTACGTAATGCTTTCCGTGTTAGCCGACTGTAGATTTTCCCGCTGACGTCTGACCTGCGCGCCACACTTTACGGAACTCTGCAGTACAGGTGGCGACCTAAACGTTGTCTTATAACTATCCGACCCAATCCACCATTTCTCTTTCCATTTCCACCAAACGGACGGTTGTTTTCCAAACCAACCATTTACCCTTATTCTCATCCGACCTAACCCGCCACCCCATCAGGTAATCTTCTCCACTGTTTCCAATGTTTTACAGAAAAGGTTATCTTTAATCATTTTTGTCTTTACTTGGTCTCTTTCAATCTGACCAAATCATTTGACGGTTATCTTCGGTTTTAAAAAAATAGCTATATTTATATTATTTTGATTTGTAGATAATATTTTTAAAATAAAACATAAAAAAATTAATGAAATAAAGCTATAATTTCTAAACTCTCTGTCAGATTTTTTTTTTTCCACTTTAAGATTACGACATAAATGGATCTTCCGAAACATTTGTTCGCCACGTTGGCCGTATCCATTTTTGCTCCTTACACTGAGACCCTTATATTATTTTGGGCCTTAACAGTACGGATATATATATATATATGTATGTCATTCCTGACATACCCTGCTTTGCATTTAATGCATTTACTTCCACTATTAGTAACCTATGAAAGCCGTAATTATCTGTTACCTAACCGCAATTATAACAGTCAGACCTTAAAGTCATGAATCGTTGTATTAATTTCTACAATTGTTAGCTTACCTAATCCTTATATTACGCGTCCTCGTTGGACTCAACTAACACGTTACTTATCATATCAGTTTTTAAAAAAAAAATCCAACGTACGAAGCCCTGTAAAAATTATTTAATATGCCGTTTCTCCATACAATTCATTCAAGTAAGTACAATAATCAAATTTATAATAGAAAATACATAATTATTTTACTAAATGATTGTTTTTTATTATTACCTCAACTATGATTGCCCAAATTTTTATCGTTGTTGTTACAAGTAAGTAAATTGGATAGATTACAGTGTAAAGTTAACCGGCAGGAAATGTACAACTCTTCTTCTTACAAATAATTAAAATGGGTGGATTACTGTGTACAGTTATCCGTCCGGAAAGGTACAACCTACTATAAACACGAATTATAGGTTACAACTTATTACTCATTAGTCATCAACTTGTATTCCTGCATTCATCTGATTATGCTCTTAAAGGGCATTGAAACATCTTTAATTCTACGCGCATGCAAATAATATAACTATATACACAACATGAGAACATAAAATAAATACTCACAACAAAGTAATCTACACTCCATCGTTACAAAACACTGCAGTACATAAATTAGAGACATGCATACGATTTTGAAGTAAATAACAAACAGAATATGCACACTTGTAACTATTTTTCAGTTTACAAAAGCTAGCCTCCAGGAAAATACATCATGGAGGCTGTGAAATTGTAGATATCAAATATGTAAGTCTAATACCCAATAGAAGGGTCGCAAAGGCGTCAATAGCTGCATACTCAATTTGTTCGTCTGTCAAAAATTCCGAATCCCAGTTACTTAGGGTTACGTATAGTGGCTTTCGTAGTTCTTTTCCCAAAACAACTAATACCATTGCCTTCAGTCCCTTATTAACATGTGCAGCTGGATCAACATTTAAACAAGCTCTTTTGTGGAGCGTGTTAACATCTTCAAATTGACGAACAAAGAGACTGTACTGCCTATGCAGCTTTGCAGCGTCTGCTTCTATACCAACACCACAAAACAGAAAACTAGGATCAACCAAAAATTTTTGAAGTGAAACTGGAATATAATCTGCCTTTAAAATTTGAAAAACAAGACAATACAAAGAAAAACAAAGTTGGATGGTAGCGACAGGATTGTCCTCCCCAGAGTGAACGTTAGGCCGCCATTCCATATCAAAGCCGACAACAGTAGGACCATACGAAGAACGAAAACGACAAACAAAACCTACCCCTTGATCAACTTTGATTGCTTTCTTAGTGACTGTGACTGCAAAAACGTCATTGTAAAACAAATGTTACGGAAAAAACCCGGCATATTCGCTAAGCTCATGTTCTCCATTGAACGATCGGTTTTGCTTAAATAAAGTAAGTTCAATAGAGAAGACCTACGAATTCTCTAAAGACAGTTAATGGCTAAACTTTCACCACTTTTATTCGATTAACAGAAAAACTCTGCCAACCTTTTCACTACGATGACTCATTATATAGAGCGAACAAGTGGAATATTTTTGCAAAAAATATTTAATATAGTAAGTTGTTTACAAATATTAATGCCAAGTAATTTCTAATACGCAAGCCCTGCAGATTTTTTCGGGAAAAAAGTTCCAAACAAACCACTTGCTGCTTTTAATACTCAACTATTTCTCTGTCTAGCAACTTGTAGTTAACCTTTCCGAGTAAAAATGAACAAAATTCTAATCAAATCTTTCTCCATTAGTCACAACAACAGTACTTAACTTCCTCCCCTCAGACCGTAATCCAATTTTTCATCCAACATTATTATTTTTGTACCATTTCTTGGGAATAATATATGATTTCACTAAACCCGAAAAACTAAAATACAAATAATTATTGTTCAAAACTAAGATACTAAAATTTTTCATTGATTGGTTGCACAACAATAAATTCTTTGTAATATAATTCATTCAATTTCTACCACTGGGTTGTTCTATTCAGTTTTCGTCTTCTCCTTAATGTATTGATTTCTATCATAATAAAATTGGGTAAATGTCAAATCATTGAAGTAATTTCTATTTTTTGTCGTAACATTTAAAATTTTTTTGGTCAAATCACTCGCTACGTTCTTGGAATTATATACACACTTTGTACGATTTTCCACTTCCCACTTGTACATTATACATTATATATATATACTAGAGGAGATTAACAAAGATTCTCATTAATGTAACCTTGATCCCCGGATAAAGCTTCTGCAAACAATTGCCTTCGCTAAATTACCGTGCATACAGAGGTTTGAAGGTGTTAAAATAATTTCCAATGTACTTGTTTTTATTTACATGTTAACTTAGTGAAAGTAGTGAATATAAAATCATTGTAGTTGTCTTTATAAAATATTTTCATTTTCCTCTCCGTTGATCGTTCTACTTCTTGCGTCATAGATAAGGAACGAAAGACGTTACAACTGAAATCCTAATTTACACCAACAAGCCGCTTTTCAGGTACTTAACAAATTTCTTCCATTTTTAAAGACTAATCATTTGTTTAAACAGTGATCTTTGTTAAATAATTGCTAATGTTCACATTTTTAGTTATTTTATCGGAAATTTTGTTTTAAAATTATGAAGTGTATATATTTTTTTAATTTTCATCTTTCTCTGAATGCTTTATTGACTTAATTTAATGTATTCACATTTATATAATGTAATTTTTAAAATTTGTTTATAAATTTCAAAAATATATTCGTATATCTTTTTATATTTGTTTAAAAAATGCTAATCTTTACATTTTTAGTTTTTCATCTTTTTCGCTTCTCTGTTCTCATTCTCTTAATATTTTATTGGTTTAAATTTATATATTGTCATTCATATAATGTAATTTCCAAAAATTAATTAGAAATTTGAAATATATATATAATATATATGTATATTCATATATGTATATATTTATATTTCTAAAATTCTTTATATTTCTCTCTTATCTTTCAATCACTACCGACTTGACGTTTGTTCTATTTTTCATCTGAACGATTCAGCTGCTATCTCTTGTGTTTCCTTAGTAACCGACTGGATGGTTTTCTTCTTTCATCCGACGAAATCATCACTTTCCTCACCTTTTTCCATCCCAATCGACTGGACGTTTATGCAGCCGCTATCTCTCGACTTTCGTTAGGAACCGACTGAACGGTTTCCCTCTTCCATCCCAGCAAATCACCCCCTTTATGTTCTCTTTCCATCCCAACCGATTGGACGACTCTTCTCCTAGTCAACGCACGGATTCAGCCCTATCTCTTGTCTTTTCATTCAAAATGTCTGGACGGTGATCCTCTTCCATCCGACAAAATCAGCCGCTTTATCTCCTCTTTCCATCCCTACCGAGTGGACGTCCATTCTGTTTCTTATCTGACCGAATCAGCCCCTATCTCTCGTGTTTCCAATTGAACCGAATGGACGGTTTCTCTCTTCCATCCGACCAAAACAACCCCTTTCTCTTTTTCCATCCCAACCGACATGACGTTTGTGCTCCTTCTTAACCAACGGATTCCGCCGCTCTCTCTTGTCTTTCCATTGTTTTCCATTCTAACCCATTGGACTGTTTCCCTCTTCCGTCCGAGCAAATCAGCCCACTTCTTGTCATCTTTCTTTCCCAACCGACCTGAGGTTCCTTCTCCTTCTCATCCGACGAATTCACCTACTATCTGTCCTTTTTGCATTCTAAGCCACTGGAACGTTTGCCTCATTTCGTCTGACCAAATCCGCCACCTCCTGTCCTCTCTCTATCCCAACCGAGTGCAAGGATCTCCTCCTCCCATTCGCCCAATGCGGTCAGACATAATTTCTTTTCCCTATATTCTCTATTCTCTTATTCACTCTCTCATAAGGCTTTATTTATTTAAATTTATATATTCAGATTTACAAATTTAAAAAATTTATATTCATTTAATTTAAAATATAACATCAATTTATATTATTTTTTACAGAATAAGCTTTTTAATCAAACACAAAAAATGCATCAAACATTATATTTCTCTCTTTCACTTATTTTGTACCTCTTTCTTTCATCAATTGATTGGAAAACTATTTTGGATGAATAAATTTTCTCTTTTTCTCCCATTATCTTCCTTTTTTCTAACACTATGCATTCTCTTAAATTTATCGATCTTTTAATTATCAAAATAAAGAGATTAAAAAAAAATTACATAAGAAATGTAATTTTAGATTTCTGCGTTATTTGTAAAGCATTGAATTTTTAATATTTATTTGAGTTCTTTTTTTGGGTAGTACAGAAAAATATTCTCAACTGAAAACTTAGTTTTACTAGAAGATTCACCATTCCAGGTAAATAATGAAGTTACCGGTATTACAATAGTTGGACGGTTTTGTTAACATGAATGCTTCTTAAGCAGTACGGAGGTTTTTAACTCTACCTATTTAACCGCAATAGTCTATATTGAAATTACCCACTTGTACACTCTTTTCACACACGGGCTGATCGACATTGTTTGGACTTGTTCTATTAAATCAAATAGTCCGTTTAGGATGATAGCAGTACATTCTAATAAAATATTACAAGTATTTCGACCCAAAAATTTTCCTACAATAATATTTGCTTAGAAACAACAAATTGTACAAATATGTCTTTAAATCATAACTTACAGAGTGTTAGAAGACGAATGATACGTGAGGATGCTATTCGACATTCTACACGTACAAATACAACCACTTCGTCACCATGGATTTTACGAAATGTGCCCCCATGTAATCATTGTGGTTCAATTATTTTCTACCGTGAAACCATGAATTCTTGTTGTGCAAATGGTGCATTTGTTCTTGCTCTTCTTGAAACATCTCCTATACTCCAGGATCTCATAATGTATAACCATAACATGTCTGAACATTTCATGCCATATATTCGTACATATAATACTCTTTTGCATTTTCTACACTTGGTGTCAAGTACAATGTTGATATGTGTCGCAACGAACATAATTTGTACATATTCCGAGTGAATGGAACAATGCATCATTTCATAAATTCATTAACTCCTACAATTGATAAGAAAAACATTTGCAACTCTATTACCATGACTCAAACACAGAACTTTAGGCACGGCTAGAATATTATCCCCAATCTAATACCTGAGTTAGTTGCTATACTTATAAACACCTCCTACTTAAATTCATATGCATGCTTCTTTAGACAATTATATACAATGTCTTGTATCAATGACTATAAGATTTTCTTGAAGACAAATCCGTGCCTGAATCAAAAAGTTTACAACCGTCCAACTGTGAATGATATATCTATCATTTGGCAAGATGGAGATGATCCTATTACATATTTGCATCATGATATTTAAGTATATCCTATTAAAGGAACTGTAAGAAAAGTTTCTTATTTTTCATTTGCTTATGACCCACTTCAATATCCACTGCTACATCCCCATGGCCAACCTGGTTGGCATGATGATATACTAACAAATAACAGAAGAGCAATAACAAAATCTAATGTTTTTGCTGCTGATTTCTACAATCAAGTTTTAGCATATGAAAACAACAGTCAAACTACGAATAATCAAAGTATACACGCTACGACGCTAATTGACTTTTCAGCTTTAACTTTTTAAGTCATGTGAAACAATTTCATTGTCCTAAATATTACATTTTCACAATTGTATTGTAGGAACAAAGAAAGCAAGGATGTATAAAGGTCGAATATCTATGAAAGAGTACTATTCCTATCGATTACAAGTAAGACCTTCTTGTCTAACTATTTTACTACAGACATGACGTTTATTCCAACAATACGTTGTTGATCAATACATTAAAATAGAAACTCAAAGACTTGACTTCTTTCGTACTTAACAATCGCAAAACACATTTAAGCAAGATACATATCAAGGAATTCTAAATGCTTACAACAACAATGGACTAAACAATTTGTCTATGATAGGAAAGCCTTTGGTGTCACCTTCTTCTTTCATAGGTGGTCCCCGAGATATGCATCGTAGATACGTGGGTGCTATGGTGCTTGTACAGGCTTTCGGAAAACCTGACTTTTTTATTACAATGACTTGTAATCCACAATGGCCTGAAATTCAGTCTTACTTAGCCACTTCTAATAGTACAACTAATCGACCTGACATTGTTGCACGAGTTTTTTAGAGGAAAAATTAAAGAAATCAAGCATGATATACTAAAAAAAATATGTACTTAAAGTTGTGAAAGCTTATTCTTATGTCATTGAATTTAAAAAAAGAGGACTTCATCATATGCATAGGCTGCTAATCATGGATGGTAACTCAAAGTTAGATTGTTTATCATCCTATGACTCTTTTATTTCAGTAGAACTCCTAGACCAATATCAACAACTTCCTTTGTAC